ATTTAATTTTTGTTTAACGTTATTAATAAAAATGTTGTTCAATTAGCATGTTTTTGTGTTTTGCTTTGGTACCGAAATTGGTACCGAGAACCGTGGATTTTCACTGGTATTGGTACCGAATACTGAAATTTTGGTACCGTGACAACACTAGTGGGAACCTTTACAGAGAAAAAGGACGGGGCTTAAAAAAAATAACACATATTAGCTTGGTGAAGAACAAAATGATGCTGACAGCTTTAGCCTAGTTATTCCAGCATTAAACTACTTACATAAAAATACCAGTGTTAAATCACATACCTTCACTCAAAGACAAACAAACTGAGTTCACATTGACTATAAGAGTGAATCTTGAGGAAAGGCATCTTTATATTGCTAGTTAACACTTCCAAACCCAACAACTGAAGCTGAAAGGTAATTAGGCTCTTAGCAGAGTACAGGGGAGCATCTATGTCTCATAACATCTCCACTAGAGCCTTAAAGGGTTAGTTCACCCAAAAATGAAAATTAGCCCATAAATTACTCACCCTCAAGTCATCCTAGGTGTATATGACTTTCTTATTTCAGACGAATCCAGTCGGAGTTATATTAAAAATTGTCTTTGATCTTTCAAGCTGTTTAATGCCACTCAGCGGGTATTGCTGGCGTCCGTCCAAAAGAAGTTAAATAAAAAGCGCCCCATCCATAAAAAAAAAAAAGTGTCTCACACGGCTCCGGGGGGTGAACAAAGGCCTCCTGTAGCGAATCGATGCGTTTTTGTAAGAAAAATATCCATATTCAAAACGTAATAATCACTTGAATGTAGCTTGCACCAACAGTTGTACACAGAAGCAGTTCCACTCAGAAGTGACGCACGCGGAAACACGGGAGAGATCAAAACAAAACAACGGTCACTTATTAGAAGTACAAAACAAGGATTTGTAAAGAAGAATGTCGGAGGATTTCGATATAAGCCTGCTAAAGCAAGGAAACTTTGCTTCCTTTGCTCCTGTTAACAAACGTTGGTTTTCACAAGACTCACCAGCGCATGCGCAACGCTGACCTCATACGTCATTTGGGACTGAAGCACTGCAACACCCGCTGACTGCAATGATAGAGCTTGAACAATTTTTAATATAACTTCGACTGGATTTGTCTGAAAGAATTAAGTCATATACACCTAGGATGACTTGAGGGTGAGTAATTTACGGGCTAATGGTGAACTAACCCTTTAAATGCTGCTTTGAACCTCTCACTCCAGTCAGCATTATGATCATGAAGAACCCTCCATCCGTACTGAAGATCAGTGATGGAGAAGACAGGATTAACACGTGCACCAGTGTGTGTCTGTGCGTGCGCGCATTCAGGACTAGTTTGTGTGTTCTTCTGTCTAGCTTCATTTAGTCTCTTTCTGCTCTTTACATTGCCAAATAAACTAGATCCAGTCAGAAAACTCCCATGCGCACTAATCTGACTGTGAAGGGCGGATTATACACCATCAGGACGGTAACAGACCGCAGACATTGAACACTGTTGGTTAATAAGTGCTCAGTGGAGCAGACGACATTCTTATGATGATATTGTCCTACCTTCCTCTCCATGGCCGATGGTTACTGTGGCCGGTTGTTAGCGAAAGAGCAGCGAATGGCAGATGAAGAGGCGGATGTGTGTCCGGCGCGATGGAGATGAAGTTCTTTATAGCTTGAAGCACAAGCACACACACACTCCCTGTTGCTCGGTGCTGGAGTGACTGGACAGAGAGGCAGAGCGGAGTGAAGAGGGGATGCAGCCAGACGGTGAGCGCTGAGGCGCAAGCGCGTTCCCCGCTGCTTCGAATAAAACTCGGGGATTTAGAGGGAGCGTCATCAAATTACGCGCCGCTCCAGTCAGTCACTAACACGGGCCGTCGGAATACAGTGGGAACTTAGTCGAACAGGCCTAAAATACTACCCAACTTGAGCGTGAAAAGTCCGCCAAATATCTGCACACGAAGATGAGAGTAAAGAAGAGACGGTAGTAAACAAGATTACAAAGACCAGTTGTCACACACAAGCAGCCAAGAGCTTCTTCCTCATAATGACCGCCGTCGATAATGTGATGCTGACAACAGCTATTAAAAGGGACTATAAAGGGATAGTTCACCCCAAAAACTAAAGTTCTGTCATTATTTATCGTTATGTATCGTAAGTTCATACAGTGAGCAATCCTTTTATGTAACCTTATTGATTGAACTAATTTTTAAGGATGCGTTCCCTTACCAAAAAGTATACTTCAAGTTTATTTTAGTAAGTATACTTAAGTAAAGTTCAAGTATATTTTTTAAGTATACTTTATGTAGTAAGTATACAAATATCTGTACTAGTAGTATACTTGTAAGTGTACTATTTCAATACTCCTTGGGACTAAATTGACCCACTTTCTAGTATATAAAAGTATACTTTTAAGTATACTTTAAGTATAACAGTAGTAAACTTTGAGTACACAACTAGTTTACATCAAAATGTTTAGTTTGTACTGCAACTATACTAAAAGTGAACTTACAGGTATACTGATAGTTTACTAATTAAATACTTGTAGTTGCATTTTTAGTACACTTTGAAGTATAGTCTCAGTAAACTACTAGTTTGGTAGTTTTATACTGCAAGTATACTCGTAAGTTTTCTTTAAGTGAACTTTACATCATACTTGCCGAAAAAATCTATGAAATCAACAAGTGAGACAAGTGTGAGTTTTCACAATTTCTTACGAAAATTAATAATTTTCCAAACCTAACTAAATAACTGGAGGCAGAGTTATTTTTAACTCCATGTAGATCACAAACCTCTGAAATCGGTTGATAAATGTAAGCGTTATCGTGTTTTTATCCAGAAAAAAACGCAGCTCCTCCGTTTACCTCCATTTATTTTTAAGGCAGTCTTGCCTTCACAAACATGGCGGACGCGTTGACGTATCGCAGCAACGGCTCAAAGCGGCCAATGAGGAATCTAGGTGTTTATTATGTCTATGATCTGTTGTTTCGGTTTCTTCTTCACTTGTGTTTTTTGGAAATTCTGTACAGAAGATGTGTACTAGCGCCCCCTACAGTATAACAATGAAAACACGGATTCTAGGAACACAAGTATAGCTCAAATATATTTAGACTTTTTCTAAGTATAAGTCAAGTATACTTAAATGTCATTTTAAGTATATTTCTGAGAAGTACATAAAGCCCATTTCTGAGAAGTACATAAAAAGTAGACAAAGTATACTTTCCTATTTTTAGTTTAAAAAAAGTATACTAATAGCACACTTCAATAAACTTCTTTTTCGTAAGGGTTAGCCTAATTTGTACTTCCCTTGCATTTTGCCCATGTCCAGTAAGGCTCATCAAACATTCACTGAACAATGATAGTCTTCCAGCACTTCACTCATGTCATTACAACCCTCAGAAGAAACTGTTCATGAACCTTCAGATGTTTCTTGATATTAGTGAATGTTGACGTCAGGGTCACTCCTCTCATAGAAACAAATTATGACAAGAGTATCACAATATCATTGCTGTTGGGCTCAGAAGAAAACAGAACTAGGCTACATAATCCTGAAGCCTGGGAAGCATAATGTGGATAACTACTGATGTCCCATCATTCTTCAATATTGCACTTAAGTCACATGAACTGCAGAAAGCTGTGCTTTCAGAAGTATTTATTGGAGTTGAGACGCAGTTATTTTCACCTTATTTAACAAGGTATGGTAATGAGATTCCTACCAACAACCTTCCTGATGCCGATGTCCAACTTCACTCTGACTTACTCCTGACACTTGTATTAGCTGTCTATCAGATGTCAATGTCACTGATTATGTCAAATCTAGTCTCAGAATACATATATTTCTTTCTTCTTTTTTTTTCCAAGTTAATATGTGCACAGAAGGACACACTGCTTTCCCCCTGAAAACACGACATGTAAAACAATCATGTTGAAGAGTACCCAGTGCTACTGACACAAAGACATCTGCTTAACTGAGAGACACCTTTCAAGTTTACTTGTTTGCTTTTATGCGTACAAAAAGAATAGTATTCACTATTACAGTTGGAGGCCCAATCTAAAATTTGAGTTTCTGTTGGCCTGATGGCAGTGACCACCATTCTCCTGTGTTCACGCTTCATATGTGGAAAACAGTGACTCCTCTTAGGCTGTTTACCCTGAGGAAAAATACAATTACAGAGCTCTGAAAAATGATACTAGAAGTGCTTGGATTGAAGTTATTTATTTTTCATTGGCTCAAGTTAAAAAATATAGATGTGAATCATTATCCTACATTTTTTAATTGGATGAATGAAACATTTTTTTCAGTGTGGATAGTCAACTATTTATAGTCTGATCATTGGTCTACATTTGACCTTGTTAGCCAGTTCAACTAAATTCTTAATCTCCTCAATTTCACTGACAAACTTGAAATCTTCCCTGAATTAAAAAAAAAAGGTTTCATTAGTTTAAGCATTCAGGCCTTCACTTGGCTCCGTAGTAGACGAAACATTTAATTTATTATGTGTGTATATTCTACACATAATTTTTTTCTTTAAACTGTCAAAGCAAATGTGCAAGAACCCAAACTCGACTGGCAATTCTTTAGTGCACGGTTACTAGTGATGTTCAGTCATAAGCATTTATTGCTTTTATAAGTAGGCTGCAATCCCCATTAATATGTTTAGAGCATGCATGCTTTTGAAAATACAGTCCTGTACGGTTTATACATTTGGCAAGCAACTGAACCTATTAAGTGTAGTGAATCAAACTGTAAGACTGTTTTTAAGAATGCAACAGAAGTATTTTAGTAAAATGGCTGGTGCCTTCATTGTGAGCTCTTTCACAGAATTTGAGCTTAGTAATGTCTCATTCAACCATGTCCTAGCTTTATGTACTGTTGAAACATTCTATTTTAGAATTTACACCACCTTGCATCTTCTTTGAGAGAGTCACTATATTTGGAAGACGTTGACTTGTTGAAGGTATCCACTGACTGATCAATCTGCAGGGCCTCAGCCAGCCGCCTAGTGGCAAAACAGAAAACATCAAAACCTGCACACAGACATATCTAGTAATATATTCAGGCACAGATAGAGGAAAAGACTGTGTGAATAAAATCTTTATGTTGACCTGTTCCTCTCCAGTGTAGCACATTCTTGATCACACTCCAACCTGTGAGAGAACAACCAAATAAAAAGATTACGCCACAACTGAAGTACATTTCTAACAATGTTTACCTTCTGAGGTAAAAGTGCCACTGGTAGTTTAATCCCCAAAATAAATTTTTACTTGCATTTTGTGGTTAGTGTGTGTTAATTCTGTACCCTGCTCTCCTTCAATGCAGCTTTGAACTTGTCAGAAACAGCTAAAACCACTAATACTGTCGTTTACATAAGATAAACACTGACCCACAGACTACTCTTCTGGATGACTAATAAAAACAAACAGCCTTGCAAGCTTTAGTCTGTGAGTATACCTGGCCTTTCTCTGCTCTTTCTTTGTGAGCTGTCCAATGTCTACGGACTCTCCCAGCTGCATATCTGACAGCTTACTGGCAACGGCAATAGCTGCATATCTGCAGAATATAGAGATGAAAATTATATTTGACCTCCGATCAGCTAGAATATACAACATTGATAGCAATTTTTGTCTTATTTGCATATGTACATAATTCATTTTAAATGTATTACTTGCTGTGTATGTATGGCTTGCTGTGAGTGCACAATCATCAGTGGGGAAAAAAGAATAAGAAAAGAAAATGCTTGTGCCAAATTATCAACATAAAACTTTGCTTTGAATGTCTATGAAGGTTTTGATAGCAGGGCGTGTTTTAACCTTTGGTAGGAACTAGCTGCATCAGCACAAGGAATGGTTCTTTCGTTCGTTCACAGTCACACTGCAGTGCCACCTAGAGATTAAAAGTGGGAAATAAGTATGGCTATAATGTAAGGTTCACCATTTTGAAAACGGAGTGTCTATAGAAATAAAGGATATAGCCAGGGGTTAAATTGGGATTTGTTATGTGTGTGTGTGTGTGTGTGTGTTTTGTTTTTTTGCAAATATGATTTATTTTGAAGCAATATTCTCATCAGTTTTCTATCAGCTGTGACATAAATCTGCGCGTTTCTTTATATTTTATCCAAGGGCATTTAAAAAAAAAATCTTATTAATACTTTCTTTTCAAATTCTTACATTTGATCTATAAATTCAATTACAATAATGTGATTATCTATACGTTATCAAATTAAATCATTTACACTGAAAAATACAACTGCATTAAATAATATTATGAGATTATTTTAAATGTTTTTGAATATACAAACAAGAAATGATGGTGGAAATGATAGTTTTCAACGAAATTAAAACGCCAGTAGGTGCCAGTAGTGAGCGTTTAATGATTGAGTCATTGAGTCGTTCATTCAAATGATTCGTTCAAACAGCAGATTCATCAGATGTTTATGATGAAACTTTGACTCAACCAATTTGTTCAAAACACGGAATCAATCAGCAATGAATCGGCTGGTTGCTGTGAGATGCGCTGTGTTTCAGCCTAAAATGTAAGTGACCTAATATTATTGTATTTGTATGAGGGGCCGTATAGGCCATAATTATTGAAAAGCCTCCTACAAACACTAGTGAAATGAAAAACATTGATAAACCTTAGTGAAATTCATTCATATGCATTACTGAAAACCTCTTATAAACACTAGTGAAATGAAAAACATTGATCAGCCGTACTGAAATACATTCATACGCATTACTGAAAAATCTCTTACACTAGTGAAAATCTTGATCAGCCTTAGTGAAATTCATTCATACGCATAACTGAAAAACCTCTTACAAACACGAGTGAAACGTAAAGATCAACCACAGTGAAATTCATTCATATGCATAACTCATCTGAATGATGCTCCTTTTCACAGTCTAAAGTCTGCGTTATTATACCAGGACTTTTGCACCCATTCAAGCCAGCGAATGATCACCCCCTGCTGGCCGGACTAAAAGTAGCTCCAGCAGCAAGTTATATTTTCACAAACGGTCTCCCACCAGTGCACTGACCAGTCTCTGGCCTGCTTAGCTTTAGTGAAGTTTTTTTTTTATTTCTTAAAATAACACAAATTTCATATATTCACAGCCTTACATTTGAAGTATATGCAGAAAACAAAACAAAACAAAAAAAGTTAAAACATTTCAGGCAAAATTACATTAAAACCAGACCATGATGTTTTACAATGTATGGGTTATTTTCTACAATATATTTGTTAAATACATCCATTTGTCCATTCATATTAAAATAATCATACATGTCCTCTGTCACTGCAGTCAAATACTGTTTAAATAAGTTACATAATATCAGTTTTTTCTTCAATTTCATTATATTCCTTCGTCTCCAAATCGTATATCTTGCTACTGTTAACCATAAATTTAAAGCATAAACATTTTTTTGCTTTTCCATTAAAGCCAAATAAAAACAGTGTTTCCCATTCCTCTAACCAATCATTATGATCACTTAAAAAAATCCCCCACAATTTTCCTTAACACCTTCATAAAATTGTCTAATGTTTTACATTTTAAAAACAAATGTAACACTCCTTCATCTTTTTCCATTCTTAATTTACATTTTGCATCTTGTGCCATTCCAATTTTTGCCAATTTAATTTCAGTCATTAAAACCAGTCAACAAGAAATCAAAATGATCCAATATGGGACTTTTGCATTTTCATCTTACATTTTTCCAAATCTTTGTTACATCTAGATCACAAAAAAAAAACTTTCCCAAAAATCAACTGCTTTTGGTCTTACAAATACAAGATCACATATACAAACATAAAACATTTTAAGAACACAGACATTGAAAGGAATCTGTTCATCATTTCTTTTAAAAATATTTCAGGTTTCTCATTTCCTGTTTCTTTATCTTCAATGCTTTTAATCCATTGTAGTGGCACAGCTTCTTTTAATTTTAGGTATTGTTTCCGTAATCAACTGTCTGTTTTCTATATCTTCATTCTCCTCTAGTGTATCTATAATTGCCTGTATAGGTAAAAATCCTGGTTTTACCTCATATAAAATGTCTTTAACTTGCCTTAATCCTGCATAATACCAATTCTTATAAAAAAATTATATTTCTATTGCTTGTAATAAATTTGTTTAAGAAAAGGGGCTGTTTCAATAGTTGATCTCTTCCTTTAAACTCCACATGAACATTCGCTTTAAAAACTTTCCATGCTCTTAAGACTTCTTTATAAAATTCAGGTATCTTCTCAAGCATATTATCTTTAGCTCTTAAGACTTCTTTATAAAATTCAGGTATCTTCTCAAGCATGTCATCTTTAAAATTCATCCACAAAAAATCATCCCCCATTTTCCCACACTTATTTATAAAGAAACTCATAATTTTTTTCCATACCATATCATCATTATTCAAAAACATTTTTATCGTTTTTATTCGCATACTCTTCATTCTTACCATTGGATCTATGAGTCTCAAACCTCCCTTTTCCACCTCCCCAATTATTGTGTCATATGCTATTTTTGCAGGCTTATCATCCCATAAAAACTTTAAAATATAAGTTTTTATTCTTTTGTACGCCCATGCTGGCAGACTAACCACACTTAAAATATACCACATCTTAGACAGAAATAAAGAATTTAAAACCAATACTTTCCCTTTTAAAAACAATTCTCTTTGTTTTCAAAAGTTTAGTCTTTTTTTTCCCATTTTTTTTTCCTATAACCTCCTCCCAAATCAGGTCTCTTGTTTTCATTTCATCTTTCCCAAGTGTAACCCCTAAAATCTTTACTTCATTCCTCTGCTCTTTAAATTCCCATTGTCTTTCTAAAGTATCCACCTTCCCTATCCTCATATATTCAATCTTTTCTTTATTGACTTTAGCTCCTGTTCCTCCACAATATTTTTCAAATATTAACATTGCTTTTTTAATGCTCTTTAAATCTTATAAAAACAAAGTCGTGTCATCTGCATATTGGAATATTTTTTGCTGCATTTCATCATTTTCCACTAAAATTCCTTTTATCTGTTTTTCTTTATTTATTGCTATATAGAAACATTTCATCCATGTTATACAATTCCACCCAAACCCAATTAATTTTTCAATTAAGTCAAACAAATATTTATGCTCTACTCTGTCGAAAGCTTTTTCCAAATCTATGCTAATTAAATATCCTCTTTCACCTTTTTCGTTCATATACCACATTAGGTCTCTAATATTTGTTACTATGTCTGATATATCTCTATTTAAGACACCATATGCCTGATTTGTTGTTATAATGTTTGGGAATCACTTTTTTCAGTCTATTTGCCAAGATCTTAGCCAAAATCAGCTATAGTCAGTATTTAGCATACTCAACGGTCTGTCATTTTTAAGATCTTCTTTATCCCCTTTATTCTTATAGATGATTTTTATTATTCCTTTCTTCATGCTTTCACTCAATTTTTCTGCTTAAAAATTTCAGCAAATAAATTGTGCAGAATAGGTGTTAAAACATATTTAAAAACCTTATAAAACTCAGATGTTAAGCCATCTAGGCCTGGACTTTTGCCATTATTCAATTGGTCTATAGCCTCTTCAGTTTCCTCTTCATTTATATCCTTATCCTGCTTAGCTTTAGTGAGGGACCAGACTCTGCCTACTAAATGCAGTAGCTGCATTCTTAGTTGGCACCCAGAGGCGCGGGAAGATGTTTTCGGGTTGGGGGTGCTGTGTGTGTCCGTGCTGGGTGAAAGGGGGGGGTCACCTCATTTGACAACTCCACAAAGCACTACAAGCGTGTCGATATGAACACTCGTTTAAGTGGTATACACACTGGAAAATTTGACTGCATATCACATTTTTTAAATTATCGATAGTAGCTGATCAATCTCGGGGGTTGGGCTGGGTCCGCTAGGCTTACTTGTCTTCGTGCTCGTGCTGGAGCTGGTTCACTTACGTCGGTGCTCGTGCTGGTGGTGTGGATGCCGATTTTGGAAAGTTTTTGCTGGGAAGGGCATTTAAAAAAAATCTGAAATTTGCTTTTGCACCATTATCTCCTTGTATTAAAGTTAATCTTGTTCGCATTCTGTATAGTTCATGTCTGATACCACGCGCCAGCGTCGCGTGTTCATGAGGATTCGGCTAATCATCCCATATAGAAAACATCACAATTCAAATTAATCATGTTTATAAAGATAAACATGGGTTTATTATAGCCCACTTACAATTTACATTTCAGAGATCATTACAAATAAATTATTAAATGCTAAAACTGAATAAATTTAAATGAACCAACTTGGCGTTGCATTTGCAACCATGTGAACACAGGGGGTGCTGCAGCCCCCTCAGCACCCCTACTTCCCGCGTCTCTGTTGGCACCTTAATAGAGCTGCTCTAATAGAGGGGTAGCGCATCCTGACAAGCTCAATACGATCATCAGGATGCGCTACCCGCTTAAACAATGAGGTCAAATTCATGATTAAGGTGGGGAATTAATCACAACAGAATGTCAGGAGGCCAGTTTAA